TGTGCATAGGCAAATGGCAAACTTGTGTAAGATACTTCGAAAATGCATTTGTGATATTTGGGAAGAAAAAGTACAACATAACAAATTCAATTAGCACCCGAATAAAGTACAATATACTCTGAAAAGTATTCTAATAGTTTGGAGATATATTCCCAAGCTCCTATTTATTGCAAAATCTGAAAATGCAAGCTCTTTTAATGGGGGCGGCATATTAGGCATTGGCAATGGGAAGAGGGAGACTGCTGCAAAAAGATCCTGTTGCCTTTCCCATTTCAAAGCAGAGCACACTGGGCTTCTCACTGCGCCAGTTATTATGAACAGGAATAATCAATATGAACCAGTACGCGCTGGCTTTATCCTTTTCCCCTTCTCTTTCTCTTACACAGCACATAGCATGACTCTCATTTTTTTACAGCAAAAGATGTTACGAGATCGCAGCAAAGGTCGCATACGCCATAGTTGTCCGTTGCTGCCGGTGTCTGTAACCCCTATCGCACGAAATATGAAAAAAAAAACTGAGTAAAACAAAACAAAACACCTAAGAGACAATGAGATTCGAACCCGGATCACCTGCATGCCAACAAAGCTACACCGTTATTAGAGACTCCCGGGCAAACTGGCCTTAGGCAGGCTTGATGTATTAGAACAGTAAAGAACACCAAAAGAACATCTAGGCGTCACAAAATGTGAATCGCGTACTGAGTGGGCAGTGGAATGCTCCAACCCATTATAAAAACTTCAGGCGTAATTTTTCATCATCGTCAGCTACAGCATAAAAAATTGCTCAAAATCCCATGCAAGTGTGTAGCGGGTAGCATGCTTCTACAAAGAATGACGAAAGATGGCATAGTGAATGCCTGTTTACTACACAAAAATTATGATTATTTATGGCATAGCAGGTACCCTGCAAGTTTGCTTGTAGCAGTTACCCAAACAGTCTTTAAAAAAGCTCTGAAAGGCAGATCCTTGCTGTGACTGTGCTGCCCGTTCTGCGCAGACCTGGCAGATTTTTTTTTCCTCTTGCTACTGAAAGTGGGGCTCTTTAAACTGATTGCATAAGTACTAGTCACGAAAGTAAAATCATGCAATATGTAACAACTAGTGCCGCGACTAAAATTAAAAATGCATCAGGTACCGTCGAACCATGTGGATAAAATTGGGTAATAATTAGTTGTGTGGCTAAAAATAGTATAACATCACGAGACATCTAGTCATGGGACTAAATCACGCTACATCCCACAATAGCTAGTGATGTAACATGCTCCTACTATAAACCATGTAACAGCTAGTTCTGGGAATCACAACATCACGTGACAGACAACCTGTCACGTGACATGTTTAGCCTAGTCTACGACCTAGATAGTATAGCCTAGTATGACTAGCCTAGTGTGACAAGGAAGAACTTAGCATCTCTAGTAAAAGCTTAGCATTAATACTGAAACTTAGCTAGACTGAAGAATAGCTCCAATGATGGTTCCAGCACGGTAAACCTTAGCACAGCAAAAAAATTTTGTAGCCCGATGGTGCATAGAGAGACATATCATTCACGCTCTCTAGAGTGGACGATGAAAATTTTCGATGGCAAGAATTTGGACATAGCAGAGTTCCTCAAGCACTGAAAGAACATGTTCCAGTGTTACTTTAAAACCTGATTGATGCTCATGAAACAGATGCCTGCAGGAAGACGTGTGAATAGGAGTGGTAGTACAAAAAAGGGGACACAAAAAGGCAACAAAGAGAAAGATACCGCACACTCATTGTTGCCCTGTTTCTTTGCGCTGCCATTGTTATCTTAACATGCCGTACCAACAAGCCCCCCTTGCATCTGTCATACACTGTGGGACAGGCATCTAAGCTCCAAACAAAAGAAAGAGAAAAAGAGCAGGAGTGTTGGTGCCGGTACTGTCTTTCAGCGTTTCTTTGTCTATACAGGCACTATGGCTGTGTTGGTTTTCAGTTATTGATAGCTGCCTGGCCAAAATGTTGCTTTCTCTTTTGTCAATTTGTTATTGTCCAAACTACTCCGCTTACTTGGAAAACTGCATGCCTGCAGTCTCCCCTTCACTAAACCAACCCTTTGCTCCTTTACGTTCATTGTGCAGAGTAGCTTCAAAGCTTTAATGCTTCCTTACATATTCAAGTGTATGTGACAATCATGCTAAAAATGTTTTGTGAAATGTAGCTGAAATTTATTCATAAGAGTTACTATTTATTCAAGAGCCTTTTCTTTGCACTGTGGGAACTAAATGTTGCATTTTGTGTGTGATAACAACCTTGCACATATTTGAATGTTCTAGAGGTAACCTTAGTCAACTGCTGCAAACAAGAACCTCTACTAAAGCTACGTAAACAGTGATAAAAAATTTTACCAATCACTTGGATCACAGGTCATTCAGAGCTCTTAATGTTGCAAGCATTTTTTAAAGATCTATTTTGAGTAAGCCGAGCTTTCCAAAGAACATGAAAAATGCCATTGTATGCAAAAACTGAAACAATATAGTGAAAAAAGTGTGATAACATAGTGGTTATCTACAGAACAAGGGGAATAAAGAAAAGAAGATATTGTGTTGTCCCATGTATCTTTACACAAGATAATCTAGTGTGTAACAGTGCTTTAGGAACACACCATGCAACCATACTTGACAAGACAAAGAGTTTATTATTTTATCAACAAGTGTGTATGTACATAAAAGCTGTGATAAGAGACTTTAACAAGTGTGCTGCATGCAAAGTATTAAGGGCATATGCTGCAGAAGTAGTAGATAAAATAGATCATGGTGCAGTTAATCAGTGAAATGGCATTCACATTTTCTTAACTTACCGTGACATGTTGGTGCATTCATAGTTCTATGACCATGAAGTAGTTATCGCATTGCTCACACGCTCAGGAAACACTAAAAAGTGACAAAACTTAATGACAAGCCAATACATGTACTCTGATAAATCAACACGAGAATGTAGGCACACTTAATGAACTGCCTGTTTTTTTTTTTTTTTTTCAGAGATTTTCAGAGATTATTCCCCCCACAAAAGACAATTTACTTATTTGTCCTCCACACTTTTCTGGCTCCATACTTTTGTCTCTATCAGACTTCTAAAATGCACTTCAAACAATTCACTAGCGAGAAGAAATACATGCGAGTGTTGAAAAGCATTGAATGCAACCTACCTTGCCAGGATCAGCAAGTAGTTGAAACACATTAATGTGACCGATACACAACTACGAAATTTGTAGAGAAGATCAACCAATGTGGACCACAACCCTTCAGCAAAACATCAATCATAAGAACGTAAAGTGACAGTTTCGCGTGACTGCTGGAAAGGCCACTTAAAAACCTGCTAGAAGAAAGTCCCAAGAATATTCATGTGCCAGGCTATACACGAGACATTATGGTCTCTTACCCAACCTAGTGATCACAGTGCTGGGATTGCTTCAAACTGTAAACAGTAGCTGGGTAGTTCAGTGGCCATTTTACTTAATAAGCAAGATACGAAGTATTATGAATCTAGAAGTGTCCCAATTACAAATGACACTGTGTGTCAAGGTGAGCTAGCCAAACAAGTAAAAAGCATTGTACCCTGTGCAACCAACCCAAGCACACAGTTCTTCATGGCTTATTTTTTTTAAGAAAATAAAACAATGCCACTTGGTTGTTTTTCTGATCTCTTAAAGAAACAATACTGGTCAGTAGCATACATCGATACAAACTCGAATTGGCAACATTGTTTCCCACCTTTATGTGTATGTCGTTTGTCTCTGCCTGTTGCCAAAAGCTGCTTTTCTTAATTCAATTGTTGACAGTCGAAAATTTGCACTGTATATATACATCGATTGATATGTGAAGTTTAACGTCCCAAAACCACCATATGATTATGAGAGATGCCGTAGTGGAGGGCTCCGGAAATTTCGACCACCTGGGGTTCTTTAACGTGCACCCGAATCTGAGCACACAGGCCTACAACATTTCCGCCCTCATCGGAAATGCAGCCGCCGCAGCCGGGATTTGAACCCGCGACCTGCGGGTCAGCAGCCGAGTACCTTAGCCACTAGACCACCACGGCGGGGCAGTGTATCTGTACATCCTTCGTCAAGTTTACCAAGAGTAACTCTAGCGAACAAGACCGTAGAAATCATAATGTCCTCCGGGTCGATTTAATTACCAATAACACTCCGTTTCTGCTTCCTGGATTTTATAATTTGTGAGCTGACAACAGCATCCTAGCTGTGTATTGTTGTCTCCTGGCACCGAATTGTGGCAGGTTGTGACATCCTTCACAGTGAAACTTATCTTGAATTTGTCCATCATATTAGCAACCTATCTAGGGCTTTGCTGCCATATTGCAGTTAAGCATTGAATGCTCCATTACGTCTTCCTTTTTTCAAAGTAGTGTTATCAACGTCCCAGGTGGCTAGATTGCGAACATATCCGTTGAGTGGGAACAAGGCAAAGAACACTTGTCTTTCTTTCTGAGGTCATTTGGCACTGTGATGCTCATACGAGCAGCAGGTAGCGGTTTGCAGCTAGGCTTGTTTTCCCACTCTTCATTTCATCCTGTCATATTCTCGCACTTTGATTTACACGGGCTGGTCGTCGAAAACCGTGAGAAAAGCTTCCCTTCTCAAACAGATGCCGCGTCCGCGCAAATCCCAACGGAATGGACGAACTGGAAATATGACTAACGCCCATGTGGAATGACGCGCGCCCCCGCCACAGCGCGGGCAACCAAACATGCGAGGGCGGTCCCCCCTGCATCGTTCACCGCACCCCCCTCTCCCTCAAGGGAATAGGCACGCTCGGCTCGGGACGGTTCTCAGGAGGGAGCAAGTGGGGGATTCCACCACCACAACCACCACGATTTCACGAGGTCGGCGTTCGAGCGGCGCTGCCCCGGCCTAATTGTAAAGCGGGCGGACAGGCCCGAACTGCGGGGAAGACGAGTCCGGACGAATCGCGCTGTATGTTTTTTGCTGCGGTCGCGCGCATGCAAATACAACTTACCAGCACATCCGAAGAGGCCTTGGCCGAGGCGTCCGCTAGAACTTGCCGGGCCACATCGGCGCTGGCGATGTCCGTCACGATGTAGAGCCGAAGCGGGACGCTGCTCAACGCCAACAGAGATCCGAGGCAGATCGCCAACTTCTCGCGCATGTTTCTGGCTTCGTTGACGTTCGCGAAAATTAGCAGCACGTGAACAACTTCGCTGGAGCGGTCGACGGTGGAACTCGAATCGTGTCGAAAGCGTCCCAGCACTCTGATCGGAAACTTCCAGGCACTTGCGTCGTTGTTCTGGTGGTTGTCACTGCTGTTGTTACGGAGCGATGTCATCCCGCTCGGGTGCGTTTGATTTCGGAAAACACCGTTTCTAATAACAGTGCGCAGCTCGCGCGGACTGGCGTAAAGGATGACAAGCACCGTTACGACACCGAGGGTGACCAGCAGCTGCCGTGCGCGGTGTCTGCGAGGACTGTCAGGCTCCATCTGCACCGGACACGCAGCTACGAGCGCTACATCGCTGGATGCACTCGCCGACGTCGTCGCCGTCTCCAAAGGTCGCGCACAATCAAACAATTTGAAGCATCCGCGTGCATGCCATGCACCTGTACGCGCACGCAACGCGCGCCATTCCTGGCGGAGCGTCTAACGCAGTAGTCGCCGTCGTAGCCCGCCACAACTTCAGTGGCCACAACTCCGCGCAACAATGCGCGCACGCGCAGAGGCTCCCGAGGAAGGTCACGCGAGGATGGTGGTAGAGAGAGAGAGGCGAACAAGCAAGCGTGCAGCCGTTCACGTGATCTATGACGCGACGCGGTTGTTTTGAAATCTCATATGATCTGCTAACTCTTGCTCCGTAAGCGGAGCACTGCGTCGAATCGGCTTAGAACAACACAGTGACATGACGTTTCTCTGCTAAAATGGCTGTTGTGCCGTGTTCTGGCTTCCAATGTGCCAGCTTCAATAAGGGAGAGAGAGTGAGAGCGACTTTGTTGGAAGGCAGACATGTCGGCCTGAGCCACTGGCACGGAGCGTGGCCTGGGCATCTGCGCTTCGGCTGACTTTGGCCTGAAACTCTGCACTTGGGAAAAGGAAAAGTGGGAAAAAAGAGTGATGGAGTTGATGAGGACATGAACAAATTATGTGTATGTACAATAATTATGTTACAAAGGGGTCCTATAGTCCCATGTTAAGCCCAGTACTCTTCAGAAAATTTATAAATGCCGTTGTAGCTGTCGTTGATGCTGTCTGCTCTATTTGCCGCAGACGCCTATGCCGATGGTCAGGGTTAGACCTGTCAATTGTAAGTGATCTCAACAATAAAGTTTACGTCACTTCGCGAGTACAAACATTTTACGTGAAACGCGATGTTATCCTCAGCGGCTCTTACCAGCACGTTGCCTGAAAAGGCAAAATGTCCACACATACCCACTGTAAGATGATCGAGTGACCATTCCGTCGCGTGAGATCGAATGCTTGTATGATTTCGGAAGCCAATACGCAATATTGTCCTGTTCCTGAGCATGGATAATGAAGGGCTTGCAATACAGATTGTATTAGTATGAGATAGTATTGTCCATTTACGTGGTGTCCACTCGGATACAGAGTCAACACCTTTAGTAACCGATTCGACTTCTGTTGTTACTTGTCTAAACTGGGCTGCCGGGACATATCCAGTTGATGGATCAGAAAAGGGACAGTCTAAAAGGCGTGGATCCACAGACCGTTAGAGTCGTTGAATCACTCAGTGAAGTATGGCGAAGTGAGATGATTTAGGCAAGCAAACGCAACACGTAAATTCTTCGGAATCTCGAGTATTTGAAACTACGGCAGTGGTTTACGCATGCAATGCGATATCAGTTGGCAATGCTGCGCACGTCCATGTGGTTAGTGCTTTGTGCAAGACATTCATGCCAAGTACTCAAAAAAGACTCTTGTGAACACGCTGCACAGCCTTTCGACAGATTTCTTTGTGGTTAGAGGAATCACCATTACTGGCGAGGTGTCTGGCTGTTAAGGTGGCATGTATAGCATTGTCTACTTGTTGAGCTGTGCTTCTTTAGCTTTCCTTTTTTTCAAACAAAGGTTAAATTGTTCAACGAAACTCACTTTGCAATAATAATATATTATTAAAAAAGAGTATTTTTGTCAGCAAATATAATAAGAGACCTGCTGAAAGGATCACTCATGCATTCGATCAAAAGACGAAAGAAATCTTCTTATCTTTCTTCTTATCAAAGGCGTGGGCGCCTGACTTACTCTTCCACACACACACACGCTCTCTCTCTCTCTTTTTCTATATATATATATATATATATATATATATATATATATATATATATATATATATATATATATATATATATATATATATATATATAGCTATCTGACATCTGACCAATAGTCCCCCGTATGCAACCTAAAGGCGTCAAGTCTGCCAGTATGAGACCCTCGTTAATGAATAAGGGAAACAAGTGTATACTTAAGGGCTCGTCTTTCGTGTTTTACACAATAATAATGAGATCTAACGCCGAAGAAACACCAGTCACCAACAAGATGCAGACGCACGACGTTACAACCTCCGCCATAGAAATGTCACCTACCACCCTGGGGACCGAGTGTGGGTGTGGATCCCTGTCCGGCGACCAGGCTTATCCGAAAAACTCCTAAGCCGTTATTTTGGACCGTACAAGGTTCTTAGACGAATCACAGATCTTACCTACGAGGTATTTCCGGACTGCGCAGCGTCTTCTCGTCGACAGCTTCGGCCCGAAACCGTGCATGTCGTTCGGCTGAAGCCCTACTTCACAGAGTAGCTCTTGTGGTTTCACGTGCTACGACATGCCGTGACTTTGCGTTGCTGCTGCTGTTTGTGTTCTCCTGTGTTTTTATGCCTTTTCTTTTTTCGCTTGGCGCAAGCGTTGACGAAACTTCCTCATTTGCGCTGCGAGTACTGGCACTCTCCCTCTTTTGGTTCTCTATATCTGCGTGTGTATGCCTTCATTTTTTTTTTACGAGCATCGAGTCGATGCTTTCAAAGGGGGGGGGGGGGGGGGACTATTGCCACATGGTTTGCTTGGGTGAGATCGAAGAGTGAAAGAGGACAAAGACGATCTCTCTGAGCCGCTGCTTGGCTAGTCGACTCAACGAGCCCATTGTATCAAGTTTGTCGTGAGTAACGTGACAATATATATATATATATATATATATATATATATATATATAATATATCTATATATATATATATATATATATATATATATATATATATATATATATATTATTACAGTCACTAGACAGGACACTGGCAAACTATCTCGGGAGACGAAAAATTTTACTAAGAGACGACAAACCATGAAAGCCTCAAATACAACCGACAAAATAGAGTTAGTGTAGCTATAGGCGTATGGTTCCCGACATAAGAAGGTGTACCATGGAAAGAGTTGAGCAGGCTCTAAAAAGATGCAGAAGCCTAAAAGCTGCGAGGGCAGACTTGTGCATAGGTGAAAATCGCATGTATGCATTAAGGAACGAGGAAGGTAATGTCATAACCAATTTGGATGGGATAGTCGAGGGGATAGAGGAGTTTTACAGAGAGCTGTACAGAAGCCAAAACAACCAGAAAGCTATCGTGAGAATCAATACTAGTCCAAAATTCCCTATCCTACCGTAACGACAGGGGAAGTAGGGAAATTGGAATGCAAAGAGGCAAAGCCGCTGGTGAGGATAAGGTAACAACAAGCCTGCTGAAAGAAGTCGGAGATATTGTGTAAAAAAATTGGCCACCTTATATACGAAGTGTCTCTTGACGGGAAGGGTGCCAGAATCTTGGAAGAATGCCAACATCTTGTTACACCATAAGAAAGGAGAAGTCAATGACTTGAAAAGCTAGACCGACCAGCTTACTGTCTGTTCTCTACAAACTACAAAAATAACAGCTAATTTATATTAAGGTGACATTAGAGTTCAATCAACCATAGGACCAAGCAGGATTTGGTACAGGCTACTTCGCAGTAGACCACATTCATACTATCAATCATGTAAAAGAGAAGCGCGTGGTATACAACCAATCCGTATATACCGTACCTCTATAACATTCATAAATTACGACACGCCATTTGACTCAGTCGAGACATCAGCAGTAATGCCGGCACTACAGAATCAGGGAATCGTGAAGAACCCTACATAAACATACTGGAATAAATCGACGGTGGATCTACCGCCACCATAAGCTCTCCATAAAAAAAAGCGACAGAATTCCAATAAAGAAGGGTGTAAGGCGGGGAGACGCGATCTCACAAATGCTATTCACAGCGTGTTTACAGAAGGTTTTCAGGACCCTATAGATTGGGAAGAGCTAGGGATAAGAGTTAATGGAGAGTACCTTAGTAACCTGCGCTTCGCCGATGACATTGCCTTGATGAATAGCTCAGGGGCCGAATTACAGCTCATTACTACTGAACTGAACATGGAAGGCTGAAGAGTAGGTCTGAAGATATTATGCATAAAACTAAAGTAGTCTGCAACAGTCTCGGCAGAAAACAGCACTTTGCAGAGGGTGGAGAAAGGCTGGAAGTTGAAAAGGAATATGTGTACTTAGAACAGGTGTTTACAGCGGAGCCGCACCATGAGAGTGAAATAACCAGAAGAATGAGGATGTGGTGAATCGCACTCGGCGAGTAAAGGAAGGAAGAAAAAAACTTTATTCGCAAGGGTTTGGGGCAAGGGTCATGACCTAGATGGGTGGGGCCCCAATTTCAGGGCTCCACTGGCCATTGCCACCTGCCCGACGTGACGCACAAATGCAAGCTGCACCTCTGGGTCAAAGCTGGCGAGCTGTGCATCGCGTCACTTGAAGGTATTAGAGAGGTTGTACTGACCTAAAAATGTATTTAAATTTGGTGGTCGGTTTAGGCATCCACACGAAATGTAGTATATATAGCGATGGCGAGCCGCCACACCACGGACAGGCATGCCCATACAGCGTTGGATTTTGTGGAATCTTTGCAGGTTGGGGAAGACTCCCGTTTAAATTATGTGGAGGTCAATCGCGTCCTCCCCTATTAAGGATATGGGGGGGGGGGGGGGGGGGGAGGACGCCGTATTTCTGTCGCGTGCATCGCTGGTTAGCAAGAATTTATGGCGACAGCAATTCGATTCACGCTGTCTGGGGGGTTGATGAGTCACAGCATGAACATCGCCACCGCATGCCATATTTATTTGTTGTGCAACCTTTACAAGCGCCATGAATGTGCGCTGGTTCTTTTTCCGGTTCCCAGAAAAGGCAAACGCACGAAGGAGAGACAGAAAGATTAGGTGGGCCGATGTGGTCAAACAGTTCGCAGGTGGAACATGGCAGCAGAAAGCACGAGGCCAGGTTGATTGACGGATCATGGCAGAGACTTTTGCCCCGCAATGGCCGTAGTCAGGCTGATGATGGTGATAATGTAAAGACACCATCGCAAAAAGAAAGACTCGTAAAGCTACAGAACATTAGAAAAGCGTTCGCGAGCTGCCCAGCTTCGCACGTGTTGTTCCCGGTTCAAGTACCACAGTATTTGTTACCATCCCAATGGTGTCGTCAATACGCTAGACATAACAGGCAAGATGACATGCCTGTATGGCAT